CAAATACAGATTTTCATTCTTCAGTAGAAGTAGTAATTTAAATTTTGTTTCACCTGTTTCTAAATCACACTTTACATCTTTTTTAAAAAAATGTTTTTTCCATACTATAAACTTTTTATACACATTTTCGCATATGTATATTTCCCATGTAATATTATGTACCAAGTTTTTGAATATTTAAATTGAACAATTTTAATATTTAAAACTTGTTACAAAACATATATAGTATATTTGTACTATAATTTGTTGAACTTGTCTGATATTTGTTATTTCCATTTTTATTAGGGTTTGTAAAGAAAATTTAGTGAATAATCTATAAGAAAGTACTTGGACTATTTCTTTATGATGAATTTCCAAAAGTCAAATTACTGGGTCAAAAGCATATCAACATTTAAGTTCCTGATACAATTTGATTTGCATTCTGGTACACTTGTAATTATTAAGGTCTCATTTTCCCACTTTTTCTACCTGATACATAAGTTATTGTGGCAGTTACCACAAAGTAATTATTTGAGGGGTAGAATAGATTAGGCGTGAACAACAGTTATTATGTAAAATGGTTAGAGTTCTTTCAGCTTTTTATTATGAACCCAAAATTGCGGGGGGACACCTTATTTTGACATAAGGCAAATTTTAATTTAAAAGAAAACTCAGTGATGAAGTACATTTTATTTAAATATAGTATCATGTATCAGATTATCAGTCTATTTGTTTTTTTTGTTTTTAAGAGCTAATATGGGAACCATTTTCACTTTATATTATTGTGGTTTGGGGATGAAGCAAAGCAGCTATTAGGCTATTCATAAAACTCAGTCTGAATTATTTTGTAATTTGATAAAGTATCTTTGAATATTAGTGATTTGCTAACTAGAATATAAATTAGGCTCAGTCTTCATAACTCTAATAGAAGCTTATGGTAAAAATCAATTTAATAGAGACTACTTTAAAATCCAGTTAGCTAAAGTATTCATTTGTTTATCAGAAAATACATATATGGAGCAAACATTTATTCACCATTTATTCTGTGCTACTATATTAGATTTGAGTGATTAGTATTTTTTAGTTATTCATATTTTTTATTGAAAGGTGGTTAACATAGCATGGTATAACATGAAAAAATAGAGGGGGAAATTAATTTATTGCAGTTTTCTAAAGAAAGTTGACATTTAAGCAAGATGTTGAAGGATGTCAGAGTTGGAAGCAGTTCCCAGGACAAATAAATGTAGTAGAAGGGTGATACTCAAAGGAATGCAGGAAAGTTGATTGACACTTGTTACGAACTGAGGACAAAGGTATGAAGTACCTGTATCTTGAGCTGATGAATAGCCTTGTGAAGGGTTTACCATTATGAAATGTGCTATGAAATAATCTGTTGTGTTCTTAAGGTGATACTGGTGGTGGCCATAGTTCTCATTACTAAAATAATGAATGAAATAAGATACCAATTGAAAGGTATTCAGAGCTTAGCATGAAGGTAATATGATTTCATAATTTTTTATGGGGTTGGGGGGCGGTATTGGGGATTGAACTCAGGGGCGCTTAGCCACTGATACACATCCCCAGCCCCATTTTGTATATTATTTAGAGACAGGGTTTCACTGAGTTGCTTAGTGCCTCACCAAGGCTAAGGCTGGCTTTGAATTTGCAATCCTCCCATCTCAGCCTCTCATGCCACTGGGATTGCAAGCGTGCACCGCCACACCCAGCTATGATTTCAGAATCTTATAGGGAAATTTTCTGGCCACTATTGGGAATAGTCTCAAGAAAGAAATTAGTGATATAATCCTGCCCTGATGGCACATGCCTGTAATCCCAGAGACGTGGGAGACTGAGGCAGGAGGATCAGAGTTCAAAGCCAGCCTCAGTAAAACCGAGGCACTAAGCAACTTAGTGAGACCCTGTCTCTAAATAAAATACAAAATAGGGGTGGGAATGTGGTTCAGTGGTTAAGTGCCCTGTGTTCAATCCCCGGTTATCACCCCCCACCAAAAAAGAAAAATTAGTGATGTAATGATAAAAAGAAACATTATCTGATGAGAAAGAAAAGAATATAATGGGTGAATCTGGGGGCTAAAATAGTGTCAAAATTCTAAAGACTGAAAATGATTTGGGAATAGGAGAAGTGGTCAGAACCATAAATTGAACAGATAAGCAAAACATCAGTCCTTTTTCAAAATAGGTTCGAATCTAGATGAAGTGACAAGGAGGGCAATAGGTACATTATAGTGTATGTTGCATCATGTTGTAATCATTGAAGGAACAAAAGAATTTCATTTGTTTTTTTTCCTTCAATGGCAAGTAAAATTTTGTTCAGACTGGAAATGTGCAAAGTGAACATTGTTAAGAGGGTATGTGAACAAGTAATTCTTATAAATGAATATATCTTGTACTTTGGATGTATGTCATCCAGTATTAGTAAGAATCATGGTTATGATTAATATGAAATCACCAGCAGATGTTGTTGGTAGTTTTTAAAAAGTCATGAGAAATGAGGGTGACAAAAGAATGGACTTAAGCAAATATACCCCTTTGCACCTTTCCTGTTTTAAGTAAATAATGAACACTCTTTGAAATCAACTTTGTATTCATATCTCTGGAACATTAAAATAATATTGGATTTTATCTTTCCAACTTTTTTGGATGGCTTTGGTGTACTAAGATGCACATGTAATTTGTGTACAATCTTGCCACTAGATGGTGCTCATACAGAAAAGATGTATGTGTGTGTGTGTGTGTGTAATTTTATCTCCCTACTAGATAAGACTGTAGAGTTATATGCTTTAATATTCCATATTAATGATAAAAGAGTAAGGGAATACATACTACGTTGCTTTCACAGTGCTTTTACATCTGTGAGTTGTTCATTTTTTTAAGTTATTTTTAGAGTTTCATTATTTTTCCTCTGTTCTTTAACCTTTTTAAAATTTTCACTAAGATCATTTAATACTTGCCATTATTTTAATACCTAAAGGCCCTTCAATTTATGAGTTTGAAAATAGCACAAATAAATAATTGAGCACCTATCCCATGTACATTTTGAACAGTCTATCTTTTTTAATAGTCTTAATATTTATCATAACCATGTTTGAGGTTACATAATTCACTAAATATATGTACTTTGTTTACTAAAATAAGCTTTCTCCTGTTGTTCAGGCTAGAAATCTATATATTACCATTCTATGAAGAAGAAAACTTGTACAGAAAAAAAAGAATGTTGATCTTTGTATGGCATATTAAGATGTTAATTGTGATTGTTTTGGGTAGTTTTGGTTGTTTGTTAATTCTTATTTTGTTGTTTTTAAATAGATTTTCAGGTTTTTCTATAATGAACATAAATTTTCTTTTAATGAAGTTTATCTCTCAACTCTGTTGTATAACAAGAGAGGGTTTTCTAAAGCATAGATCAACTGGTAGTCTTCTGTTTCCCAAACAAATCACGTAAAAACAATTGTGATTTAGATGGTTTTGTACGTATGAATTTACCACTGGACAATAGATGAGATGATCGTAGATTTCTGTAGCTCAGGTAACAGGACACTTTCATAAAGATGCCCTTCTTAGAATTTTAAGTTGTTTTCTTGATGTGAGTGGATTTGAATAGAATATTCATACATTGAGAAGTATTTTTTTCCCCCAAGAAGGATGGAATGGAACAATCTGTCAAGTTCTTTGAATTTCTAGAATAAATATATATATACTAATGGTTTACTTTTCAATCTGTATTTCTGTTGTTTGCATCTTGAGGTGTAGGGGTTTTGCATTCAGCATTTGTTCATTGTTCTTATTTTTGTGTTAATCCAGAATAATAAAAAACCTTTTATGGATTCCAAGGGTGTTTTGGTTTTCTTTTCCCAGGGTTTTTTCAGAGTATGTGGATCATAGTACATAGTTTGAGCTAACCCAATTATTGCAGTACTTGAATAAACTACACTAATCAGTTCTTAAAGTATCTGTTTCATAGGAGAACTTTAAAAAATTTTTAGGAGAATTCATTCATTCATTCATTCATTCATTTATTTATTTTTAACCAGAGAGGATTCTTAGTTCTCTATCTCCCTTTAACATTTTCCTCTATTCGTCTATCTCTCAGAATCAGTCTATCTAGGGCCACAAATTGCCAGCTACTAATAATTCTTAGGATGAAACAAGGAATTGTTATACTCTCTGTCACAAAACATCCTAACCCAAGAGTCCCACGTGGCTCTCAACCCTTTTGGGGCATACTTGCAGCATCTTAGGGAAGGAATTATAGAGATAACATAAGCATCTTTGCTTGCTAAGCCAGATTTGCAGTGGACCTCATTTTGTAGTTTGCAATGCTACTTTCTAGTAGGCTGCATGTAATTGGTGCTGGTAGGCATATAGACAAGCAAGATTTTATCAGTCCACATCTGAAAAAATATCTATGGCTGGGATTGGAGTTTATGTTATGCTTATATAAGATTAAAAGTTGATGGGAGTGGAGTTGTAGCTCAGAGGTAGAGCGATTGCCTAGCATGTATGAGGCACTGGATTCAATCCTCAGCACCACATTTAAAAAAATAAATAAATAATTTGAAGATATTGTGTCCATCTACAACTAAAAAAAATTTTTTTAAAGCATATGGTTTTTAAATAACCATATACTAAATGGCATAGCATTAAGAGGTCAGGCTTAGAAATGTAGTTTTCAAACTTAAAAGTGCTTAATTGTCACTTAGATAACTTTTTAATTTGTACCCCAGGCAATCTGAGGTTCACTACTATGTTGAGAAACACAGACCTGGGTAAAGATGTTAGAAAATGTCTGTTTAGCAATCAAGCAATATATTTTTATGAACCAGAGTAGTATTTATATAATGTTAGATAAAACGTATTTTACTGGTTATAAAAAGAATCAATTCGTTTGCACTTTTACACATTCAAAACCATATAATTTTAATGATTATAATAACACTAGGGGATCATGTTTATAATTTTCCTTAATTCTTTTTTTATCATGAAAGTTCCAGGAACCATATATTTATTTTGCTCATTTGTTCTTGTCTCCAGACTCTACCAACAGAAATCAATGTATTACATAAAATGATCATGCTACATTACAAATAGATTTCTCCCTATCAGTAGATTCTCAGTCTAACATGGATAGTACCTTCAAAAAACAGATCCATCGCTAAATAATATAAGATCCTTCCTGCTGTCCAAATTAGTATGCAAATGACAAAGATTCTTTTTGTGAAATTATTTGAACAATCATAACTGTTGGCAGAAAGGATCTTGTAATTTTAGATTCATTTTTATAATTTATGTAAGCCATGAAGATGCCATTGGATTTTACTACAGACTGTGATTGAAACTTGGTAATCCAGGGTTTCTCCACCCAGTGCATTAAATCAGGCAGCCCCAAAGGGTCTTGGTAGTCCAGTGTTTATAACATCCTTCTTTACCTGCTAATCGACCTCACTTCCTGGATTTCAGTCCGTCTAGTTATCAGCTAACAAAAGAACAGCTTTTGGTTCCTGCAGACGCTGGTGAAAAAATAATCACAAGAAAGAAATCCACCTTATGTCGTCTTTTTTGTCTGCAAAAATAAACCCAGCCATCATACAGCTAACAGGTACAGAGGAAAGATACAAGCTCTTTCATAGGAAGAAACTACAGAGAAAATGAGCATCATTTCTCAAGGTTTTTATTTTCTCTGATCTACAAGTGATGCTGCTGTAATTCTAGCTGCAGTTTTTACTGATCATTCACCACTCAGCAGCTGGTAGAGAAGTAAGACTGCTTGGCAACCACCTGCAGGGCTGCAGAGATGAATTACATTTTCGGAAACAACACACTTCTGTACTCTCGCGCCAGCCGAGGAGGCAATACTAGCTCTAGCCATGGCTCAGTAGGCCCAAAGCAGAAACACTGGGCAAAAAAGGGCTCTTCAGATGAACTGCAGGCTGAGCCAGAACCTTCACGCTGGCAGCAGATAGTTGCATTTTTCACTCGAAGACACAGCTTTATTGACTGCATCTCGGTAGCTACCAGCTCCACCCAGGTAACATACCACTTGTTGAAATTATTTTCAATATATTTATGTTCAGTTTGCTTTGCAAAAATGTTTAGTACAGATTTCTTATTAAAAATAGAATCTTATGCACTGAAGCCTTGGATGCGTAGATATTTATGTTTTCAGTCCATCTATGCAGGTCTTTAGCACAAAAGGGAACAAAAAATATTTTCCCTTATGCTCTTATGTAATGCCAAACAAAACAGCCACAAATTCTATTGAATGAGTTTTCTAAAAATATAAAAACATTAGCATTAAATTGTAAATTAATGCTCAGTTCCTTATTTTTAGACTGTTAAGCGTTATATATAGAGTTTGATATTTGAGCAAAGGAAATATCTATTTGTTTAGTGTTTCTGTGTTATTAGATAACCTTAGGGAGATTGTCATAGTAAAGAAATAGAAGATAATATAAAATATTTTCATTTTAGTGTTTTTGATTATAGATTAAAACACTTGGCTAGGATTGTATATGTTTACATCTTAAAATTACATTAAATTCAGTTAGTAAAAAGATTTAATGAATCCTTCCATCTCTCTCTCAATACACACACACACACACACACACACACACACACACCATCTAGAATTAATTTGGAATCAGTAAATTTGTGCAGTTACATGTTCATGAGAATTTTTTTCACATATTCAAATCACAATTTAAAGAGATGAGCAAACAGTAAAAGTCTTCCAAATTTTAAAGAAGAATCCCACAAAATCACTTCTTTTTGAGGAAATGAATATAGGGGAAAAAATATAAAATAAAATTGAGTGAAATACCTATTATTTGATATAAGTTTGGGATAGGGGAAATAATCTTAAAAATTTGTTTAGCATATGTTTATCTAATTGTAAAAGTAAAAGAGAAATAGTCTCATTTAAAAACAAGTTGAGAATGCTTTTGTCCTTTGACATCAATAATATTTAAATTAACAAAAATGCATACAGATATATACATATCCCTTAGGGCCTTTTAAAAATAAATTCCCTTAAAGCTGTTTTAAAAATAATTAGAAGCAGCACTGTAAATATGAATTGTAACTATTACAGCTTTTTAAGATTGATCTTGGTTTTTAGAATTGTAATTTTTACTTTTAAATAATTTCAGCATTTTAAAGTAAGAAATTTTATTTTTCATACATGTTTGTGAGAAATGGAATTACCAGAGAAGGAAGAAGCATCGTGTTACATGTAGGCTCTGAGGTTACTTATAGTCAAAATTTGTTGAGGGACAGTGGTTAATTTTCTCTTAAATTGGATGCTGCCCCAAGAATTTTTAACTACAATTATATATATCCAAAATAAATGCAGAAACTGAAGGTTGCTGTTATTATTTTGTAGATGAATATCAAATAATATTTTTCCTCATCAATAAGAGATACCTTAAAATCATTATATATGTGAAATATACAATATATACATCTATCTATCTATCTATCTATCTATCTATATATATATATATATATATATGGTTTATGTAAATACACTGTTGTATATTTGTAATGTACACAGATACATATTACCACTGAGATATCTGCAATTCATCTTAAGGTAATACAAATGAAAAAATTGGAGAAATGGTCACAGCAAAATATTGAAACCAAAGCATTTTATTATTGTTACCTAGGGGTTAGAACAAAAAGTTGCTCTCTATTGAGCTAAAATAGAGTTATGGCCTCTGTTAAGCCACTTTAAATCTTACTCCTCCCTCACCCTTAGTTTGGTTCATATCTATATACTGATAAACGGGTTAATTTTTATTTCTTTCAGACCTTTTTCCTAATACTGCTCTTGTCATTCTCATTACTTTAGTGTTTTATCTCAGTGCTAACATTTTATTTTTCATTTTATACATTTTCTAACTGAACTATTGGATAGATTATAAGCCTTTTGTTATAACTCAGTGGAGTTCATTTTACATGATAAAATTTAATGGGACCAAGAAAGAACTTTAGTCATAGTTGCATCTTAGTTGATGTTAGAATACATTTTTCTTTTGTACCAACTCAATCAGTTTTGTTTTGTAACACCAGAGAAATTTGTTGTTAGAAACAAAGTAGATTCATGAACTCTCATTTTAAAGCATATATCATATACTTTGGAAGATGATAGTATGATCGTGTTGTATATTAGTGATTGAAAAATAGGATCTCCTGTTTTGGTGTTGTCAGAATGCTCTTTTCTAAGACTTGACAGGAAGATTAACTTCTAGCCTTAATTCCTTTTGTATAGGCTTTACAAAACTTTTAGCACATTGGAAAGTTGTTAGTAAATGGATTTTATTAGTATATAAATCATTACTCTTGATTTAATACTCCCCCCTCAATTTGTTAAAATTTATTTAATTTACAGATTCATCTGAATTGCATGTCTTTCAAGGTATTTATGCTCATAACTGGGATTGTATCAGATTCTGCTTAGTATTTGTAATTTGGTAGGGAGTCATTAATAGTTTTTGAATAATGAGGAAACAAAGTGGTTATGAAGCCTAGCAAGATACCCAGCTTATTGTTGGTGCTCAATAAATGGTTATGAAATTTGTTAATAAATTTCTGTTTTAATCAGCTAGAATGTTATCATTTGGCCTTCCAAAATATGGCACCTGATCCGACACCTCTTGTGTTCCTAAATTAATTGGATGTGCTCTGTTCCTGTTCCCTCACAAGTGCCTTTAGTTCTTGAAGTAGCCTATTTCTAACTCCTCTTCTCTTTTTTCCCCTCCATTTTTTTGCATCATCCTCAAGCTATGAAATTCCCCCATGCACCTGATTTTCTCATCTTTTCCAACTTCTACTGAATAGTGATAGCTATATGACTTAAAAACTCTGATTTTTTTTTATCATTTAGTTGTATGTCAAAATCTAACATTGTAGGTTGGGGGGCTTGTTTTTTTAAATGTTAAATTAAGGCAAGTTTCTTAATAAGTGACCTATGCATTATCAGGCCCTCCTTGGTTCCTCACCTCTGCCTCCCTCCTATTTTTTAGGACTGGTTGATCCCATTCTGCCCAGCCCTATACTCTTAGACTTTGTTTTCTTGATGATATCAGTGTTTATTAATGATAGTAATAATCATGTACACTTTGAATGGCTATAAAGTGTGAGGTCGCTTTGTTTAGCAGCCATTCATGTATTTCAGATTCCTTGAAATTCCTAACACAAATCATTATAAGTATTCAAACAGGTTCCCCAAAACAATTAGCATAACAAATTTAAACAGAGAACAACAAAGTTGTGTTCTTAGGAGTGAATGAAACAGACATGATGTCTTGTCAGAACTGAAGAAGAATATTAACACTTTCTTAAGAGTAAATATTAGCCGCATGAATTGAGTAATCAGCTGAGAGGAAAAACCCTGTTCTAAAATACAGGGAAACCATTTTAAAATGTATGGGCTGATATATGTAAAAAGGATACATTTGTCCAGCAGGTACATTTTGAATATAAGGCATTTAATTTTTAGAGCTAGCTGTGCATTGGATATATTCGTCACCCCAAACGGAGATAATAATAGTATCTAACTTCACTGAGTTGCTTCTGCTAAATGATTTAACATACATAGCTTACTTACAGTAGCACCTGGCACATAAATTCTATCTTAGAGTTAGGTGCAGATGTTATTACAATTTTAGTTTTATATTGTTTTAACTCTGATAATCTATGAACAAATTTAAATATGGGTAGTTAAGAATTAACAGCATCTAGAGTAATGTAGTATATTTAAGCATTTGGCAAAAAATATTGTTGACTGAGTTCACTCTTAAGTGCAAACCACCTGCTTTTTTAAGAACCATGGTCCTCAACATCTTTATTTTATTTGCTCATTCATTCATTCATTCAGCTAGCTAGCAGTACTATGGGTTGAACCTAGGGGTGCTTTACACTGAGCTACATCCCTAGCCCTTTTAATTTTTTAATTTTGAGACAGATTTGCTAAGTCTAGCCTTAAATGGCACGCACAACCATGCCTGGCTTCAACATCTTTAAATTGTACGATTTAAGGGATGGATCCTCAGAGCCCCTCAAAGTCCCCATGAAACCTGAGTTCCTGATCTTGCCTATCCTCTGAACACTCTTTCTGCAAATTGCTAAAACCATTTACAAGTAAATGACTAAACCTCATTGTTTACCTACTTCTTACCAAGGTCCCCCATATATCATTGGAACTAATCATAGATTCTTCATCCCTTTTAGCCTCCATCACCATGAAAAGCTCAAACTTTCCAGATTCCAGATTCCAGATTCCTCTCACTTGTCCCTGTGTTATGCTGGTATATCCTTAGTCAATTTTAAATTCCCATTGTCTTTAACCACCCAAATCTGTTCACTCTGTCTTTTTGAACTCCCAGTTTATCATCAGCAAAATCTCTTTTATGCACATTTTTGTGTGTGGTTTATCTCACTGAAACATTGCATCCCCTGAGAATACTCTTTTTACATTCTTCACAAAAAGTGCAACTTCTCACACCCCATATTCTATTAAACCAACAGGTAGAATTAATGTCTTAATGTCTTTCTTTGCTTAGTGTCATTGATATCTTATAGATAGCTTTTTTTTTTTTTAACATTCTGCCTCTTTAAAGAAAAAAAGTTAGATGTCATCAAGTAGTATTTTCTACTTTTCATCTCTTGCTACTCATCTGCATCTCTCCTGGTCACTCTTACTCATTGATTATTTCAACACCTGTTACTATTTTTTTTCTCTTCCCACCATTCTTAGTCATTTTCAATATCCCTAAATGGTCCATTTTAAATCTTGACTTCTCTATGATATGTTTATCTCTAGCGAATTTATTTTTCACCTTAGTGATCTACTTAAATGGTTATATTTGACTCTTTCGATACCATCAACTGTCCTGCTTAAATAATCCTGATTAAACACATTAAACTGATCAGCACTTTTTCTTTTCAGCTTACTTTCTTTAGTATGTCCACTACAGTGATTTTTTTTAATCCTTTCAAGACCTCCAGCTTCATTTTTTACTATTT